AAAAAAAAAAAAAAAGAGAGAGAGAGAGAGAGAGAGAGAGAGAGGGCTGGATGATTTAAGGAGATTGAGGAATTCAAAGGAGTTGGGGTTTAAGGAGCTGGAGAAGTTTGGGAATTCAAGGGGTGAGAGAATTGGGGTTCTTAAGGGGATGAGTACCTGAGAGATTTGGGAACAGAGGATGTTCTAAGGTTAGGGAGTTGGGGGGACTGAGGAGTTCAGGGAGCTACAGGAATTAGGGTAGGGCTTTAGGGGGCAATGAGAGAATTCGGAGTTGACAGGTTGGCAGGCCTTCGTGGCATTAGGGAGTTATGGGTTTGGGGGAGTTGGGTATGAATCCAGAGGTTCAAAGGATTTGGGGGTGTCGGGATTGGGGGAGCAATTCCGCCTCGAAACCCCGTCCCCCCTTGACCAGCCCAGGGTCCTCGTCCCCGCAGGCCAGGCTGAGGAGCCCGGCATCTGGTACTGGACAGGACGGGCCTGGTGGCGCACACACAGACTCCAGCCCAGCCCAGCCCTTCCGGGACCCAGGTCCCCGCTCACCTCTGGTGTCTCTCTAGGCACTGGATCCGCGGCGATGGCGGCAGGGCTGGAGCAGGAGAGGATAAATGTCCACGCGAGGGGCGGGGTTGGCGCGGAAATCACAGGCCTCCAGGCTTCCTGGATGCATTACTCATCCGCCCACCGGCAGCGCTGAAGCCTAGGGGCGGGCCGAGGGCTGCCCAAAGGAGATCCACCCTCCTCCGCCGCTCCCCGCCCCGCAGTCGCGCCCCCTCCCCCAGCTCCACGTTGTGAGGCCTCCAGAGCTGTCAGGCCGGCAGTCCAAGCCCCAGAGGTCCCCAAAGTCTCTCCAACCACCCGCCTCCCCCAAACTCCCCATGGATTAATCCCGAAGTAGTTCATTCTTACATTTATTGTGCATCTACTCCTCTGTGCGGAGCCCTGGTGTGTCTGACATTATGCTAAGGGGGTGGAAGAGAGGAAGCAAATTCAATAGAAGCAGTGGAGGCAGTTAAGGTAGGTGAATGAGGGAGGAACATAATGCGGGGAAACTGAGGCACCAAATGGAGGTAGGTTGACACATCCAAGATGAACAGAATTAATGAGTGGCAGAACTGGGACTGCTGTCAGGTGGCCTGGAGCTGGAGTCAGAAAACCTTTCTCAAAAAACAGCAAGCAGAACTGAGGGTGCAGCTCAGTGGTAAAGCCTTGCCTAGCTGAATGAGGGTGAGGCCCAGGGTTTCATCCCCAGCACTGAAAAAAAAATTTAATAGCTAGCATTTATATAGTGGCACTCCACGTAATTTATCTCATTTAAAGCTCACAACAGCTGGGGATGAGTTTGCACATCTATAGTCCCAGCACTTAAGAGGCAGAGGCAGCCACATCTCAAGTTCAATGGGCTACGTAGCAAAACCTGTTTAAAAACCATCGGAAAGCTTGTAGCAAGCCCCTGTGGTGGGAAACCGGTGGTATTCCCACCTTATGAATGAGGAGATATGAGGGATAAGGGGCTTGAAGAACATTCCCAGGGTCACAGAGCATGGCATGGCTGGGATTTGAACAAACTAAGCTGACTGGCCCTGGGATTCTAACCCAGGGATGGCACTGTCCTGGCCCGCCAGGGAGGGGGGCTGGACTGTGGTGAAAGAAGTAGTGAGTCAATAGAAATTCGATCCCCACCTCATCCTGTCCTGCCCTGGAGCGGGGGTAGCATGAGGCAAGTGGTGCCCACCCGCTTCCTGACATCGTGGGAGTATGCCCTGGGGTCCTGCCGAAGGGTTCCAGGGCTGATTAGCATCCTTGGTTAATTCAGAGAGGACAGACCAAGAATAAAGATGAGGACAGCAGCTACTTATGAAGCTCTTACTGTGTACTGTGCCCTAAGAAGGCCTTTGTGTAAATTATCTCACTCACTGTCCACTACCCACTTGCTAATTAAGCTTGATTAACTTGGGGAGGTTGGCTCAATAACCACGACACCACAATAAAAACTACCAGCCAGCACTTATGGTTTGCTAAAGTCTTTGTATGTACACTATCTCTTTCAGATAATCTTGGTGATTTCTTTGTTCATTAATGTTAGTTAATGAAGTGGAACATTGTGGTACATACCTGTAATACCAGCACACTGGGAGGCTGAGGCAGGAAGATTGCAGATTTGAGCACAGCCTGGGCAATTTAGCAATTTAAGGAGATCCAGTCTCAAAATTTAAAAAAAATAAAGTAAGGGGGCTGGGAATGTGGCTCAGTGTGAAGACCCTGGGTTCAATCCCCAGTACCACCACCACCACCAAGAAAAAAAAAGTTAATGAAGGGATATTGAACCAATAATTAGAATAGTGCCCAATACTTTTTGAGAATTGACATTTATTATGTGCCAAATATCGTGCTGTTTTTCCCAGAAATATTGACATCCTTCATATCCCTGCGAGTTACATACTACTGCGATTTACCTCATATCCCTGTATTACATACCATCCTCAGATCCCTGTTACATACCATTCTTATATTCCTCATGGCCCTTGAGTTACATACCGTTCTTATTCTCATAAACACACACAATGGGGTAAAGTGACCTGGCCAGGAATGAGAGTGGAGAAATGACTGTTAGAATAAGCCGTAAGAGGGAGGGAGGAAAGGAGGAGAGCACGGATTTGTAGAAGGTGATTGTGAAAGTGGGGGAGTGAGACTGGACTAGCCGGAGCTGAGTAACTCAGTGCAGTGGTGGGAGGAAGGCAGAAGTGAAAACAGGGAAAGTCCTATCTCTGGCTGTCACTAATCCTGCTTCTGACGCCAGTTCAAACTCTCCAACCTGAGTCAGCATAGAATTTTGCCAACTGTTTGTATGTGAGAAGTTTTCCAGGTTGGAAAAGTGGTAGAGGTGAGCCTGTGGGTGGAGGGGGTTGTCTGGGACTGTGACCATCTGGACAGCTGGATAGGTGCGGGACTGTGGGGACCAACTGACATGCAGAGCAGATACCTGATAATCCCCACATGATATACCAAGTGCTGGGCCTGATTGTGCCCTTTACACAAACCAAGAAACTGAGGCCCAGAGAAGGATTAAGTGATGTGTCTGCAGTCCCACATGGCCTTAGGAAAAGGAGAAGCAAAAATTCAAGTGTAGGATCTAGGCATGGTGGTGGTGGGTGCCCATAGTCCCAGCTACTCAGGAGGCTGAAGCAGGAGGATTGTTTGAGCCCATGAGTTCAAGACTAGCCTGGGCAACATAAAGAGACCTCATCTCAAACAGACAAACAAAAGATTCAAGCCTAGGCCTCTCCCAGGGATCCAAAGTCCTCTGCTCACACAAGTGTGAGGACTTGCACATATACAGACCCAGGGTGACATTTGGGCTTAAGTTCAGAGGAAGTAACGATGGCTTATGTGAAGGACCTAGGAACCTCAGCAAGTGGGAGTATACACAGCTCTCTGGTGTGTTTCTACCTCTGGGAGTGGTGTGTGTGCCCCTTTGTGTGAATTTCCCTTCCTGAGAGTAGGGAATGTGTGGGAGTGTTTTGTGTGTGACTTCTAGGAGTTGTAGGTTGCATATGCAGTCATAAGTGTGCCATTTGCCTCAGTGATAACGAAGTGACATGTCTCTGTCTGCCTCTGTCTGTGTCTCTGTCTCCCTCCCCCCACTCCTTGGTACTGTCTCCCTGGCATACTGCCTGAGGATCCCCCCACCCTCCCCATCCCAACACCAAGCCTCTTGCCACCCTCAAAATGACGCCAGTCAATTGGGAAATGAGGAAGGGGGGTGCAAAGAGAGGGTGAGGACTGAAGGTCAGTCAGTCATCTTGAGTCTGCGGGCTTCCAGTGCCTGTGGGGAACCGGTAACTGCCACCACCACAGCAGCCCCTCAGGGAATGCCATCTGTCTACCCTGTCAGCGGGAGTCAGGGGCCCTGCGTGTGCACATGCACTGTGACGCTGAGAGGGCTGGGGTTCTCCAACCCAGTTCCCTCTTCCTTGCCCAGGGAGCAGGGAGACTTGAGGTATCTCACTCTGAATATGTGTGAGCATGTTTGTGTGTGTGTGTGTGTGTGTGTGTTTGTGTACTAGGAGTGTTGTCTTCACACTTAGCCTGAGTTGTAGTAGGTACCTCTGGTTGTGTGCATGTCTCTCTGTATTGTATATACTGCAAGGAAGGCTGTGTGTGCATGCATATGTCTGGGTATATTTGTGTGTGCACATGTGTGTGTGTGTGTGGATGTGTGTGTGTGTGTGTGTGGTACTCGGGATTGAGCCCAGGGCTATCTCACTGAGTTATACCCTCAGCCCTTTTTTTTAGTTTTCATTTTGAGACAGGGTCTCACTAAGTCACTATATTACCCAGGCTGGGCTCAAACTTCAATTCTCCTGCCTCAGCCTCCCAGAATGCTGAGATTGCAGGTGTGTGCCACCACACCCAGCTGCACATACTTCTTGTGTGCCCAGAGTATAGTGTGGGTCTGTGTTATGGGGCTCTGGTTATTTGAGTACCTAGAAATGCATACACTCTCCCTATGTTATGTAGAGCCTTTGGCTTTTCATGCATGTGCCCAGGAGTGTTGCAATGGTATGTGTCTATCCTATTGTGTGTGCCTATATTTGTGTGTACCTCTGTACTGTTACATGGGTAATCTTTTGTACTGTGTGTGTGTCCCTCTGTTATGTGGGTTTAGATGAGGGAAGGAACCTGCCTTTGTGTGTATGTGCCCCAGAGTGCTGATTGTGTGGCTGAGTGTGGAGTGTGCCACCCAGGAACCCTGGCTGCTGTTCTATGCTATGGGCACCTGGTTGGCTCAGTGCCCATATAGGAATGACTGCATGGGTCTCTGTTCAGCCCTAGAGCTGGGTGTGCTTGGAGCCTGTGTTCGTTGTCCATCTCAACACTACACTCGTGGGGGCTGGGTAGACCTGAGGGTTTACGTGAGCCTCTGTCACGCACACGCAAGGCTTGGCTGAGAGGTTCAGTTGCTACGTGCTAACCACTACACCCCCAGACATGCACACACACTCATCTCGCATCATCCATTCTTTGTAAAAACAAACTGTCTTTTCTGGGAACGTCTCCCACCCTTATCCCATGCCTCTGCCCAAGAAAGCAGCGGCAGGAAGTATGGACTGGGGGGAGGGTCGGGGAGCAGACAGGCAGGGCTGTGGATTTGATTCTGGTCTTGGAAGTGCTGTGTGACTCCTAGATGGTATCTGCTTGTCTCTGGCCCATCTTTTCTGCAAAAGGGCTCACAGTGTGGCTCACACTGGATGGGGTTGCTGAGCACCATCCTACCCTTGGTGCTCAGCACTCCTACCCTGACCATACCTCTTCTGCCTTTTCCCCCGCCAGCTCAGCAGCACAACGTACCCTGTGGTTGTGAAGATGGGGCATGCACACTCTGGGATGGGCAAGGTGAGTCCCCAGCTGGAGTGAGTGCATGTGCATGCATTTGTACAATGCACACTTGTGGCACTGGAAGTATGTAGATAGGCAGGTATTTGTTTATTCAGTGTACACCAGTAATTGTTTGATGGTGTGTCCTAGGATGTCTATTTGGATTTTTGTTTTCTCATAATCAGCTAATTTTGCCAGCCTGTTTATCTGTTGTGTATTCAGGCAATTTTGTGTCCTGTTACTGTGCTAGTGTATCCAGCATCGTGCCTGTGGGTTTATGTGTGCTTCTGTGCTGAACATGCATCATGTCATCTTTTACATTCCAGGGTCTCGGTGTCCAGTATGCTGACTTTGTCTGTATGCATGTAGAAAGCAGACTTGTGATTTGTAAGTTTGAGTGTGTCCCAGCTTCTGTATGTTTGCTATAGTGTGTACAACTGAGTTTGTGTCTGGGTACCCCATGCATATACTGTATATACACAGTTTTTTGTTTTATTGAGATATAATTCAAACATCACATGACTCAAAGTGGGATGTTCACAGAGTTGTATACACCCTTTTGTGTTTGTGTACACATGTACAAAACAGACCCACAATTGTGCATGCTTAAGTGCCTAGTTTGTGTACTCACCTTACCTGTGTGTCATGTGTACACACAGCTCTAGGTGCCTGCACTTCCCACTACTGTCCTGACCCCCACCCCTATGCCCACAGGTCAAGGTGGACAATCAGCACGACTTTCAGGACATTGCAAGCGTTGTGGCGCTGACTAAGACATACGCCACTGCAGAGCCCTTCATTGATGCCAAATATGATGTCCGTGTCCAGAAAATTGGGCAGAACTACAAGGCTTACATGTGAGTGGGGGATGTGGGCTTGGGGAGGGGTCCTCTTCCCTACCCTGTACAGCCCAGGTCCCTCTGAGCTTCTCCCTGCTTATCCCCCAGGAGGACGTCCGTGTCAGGGAACTGGAAGACCAACACAGGCTCTGCGATGCTTGAGCAGATCGCCATGTCTGACAGGTGGGGGCTGAACACGGGAGACGGAGACAGGGAGGTTGAGCATGTGGCCCCTGGCAAGGCCCTGACCAGCTTGCCCTACCCCTCATCTTGGCAGGTACAAGCTGTGGGTGGATACATGCTCAGAGATTTTTGGGGGACTGGACATCTGCGCAGTGGAAGCACTGCATGGGAAGGACGGACGGGATCACATCATTGAGGTGAGAGCATCCAGGGATCAGTTGGGGCACAGAGGGAGGAGCAGGTACTCCAAACTTCCAAGCACTCCATGGCTCAGAAAGGCTTCAGTGGATGGCAAGGTGCTCAGTAAACTGTCAAGTACCTTGGATCTGGGACATCCCTAGCAAATGGCAAAACAGTCAATTGTAACCTGGGGCTGGGGTGTAACTCAGTGGCTGAGCACTTGCCCAGCAGGCATGAGCCTCTGGGTTCAATCACCAGCACTGCAAACAAACAAAAACTCCCAACTTGCTGTGTGAACTTGGACATCTTTGGTGAATGGTAAAATGTTTGTTGAACATCTTGGTGAAAGGCAAAGCACTTAGTTACCTTTAAAGTGTCCTGTGAACTGGGTCAATAGCAAAGCACTCTGCAATAGACAAAGTGCCCAGTAAACTTGAGTGAGGATTGGCAAACTTTCTCTGTAAAGAACCAGACAGTACATGTTTTGCAGGTCATGGAGTCTATGGTAATGACTCAACTCCACAGAGGCAGCCACAGACACTGTGTAAACACATTAAGTGTGGCTGTGCTTATGGACACAGCTTATGTGTTTGTCTAAAATACAGTTTGTGAACACTGAAATTTAAATTTTAAAATTATTTTATATAATCATGAAATCTTTGACTTTTTCAACCATTAAAAGATATCAAACCCATCCTTAGCTCATGGGCCACACACAAACAGGCAGCAGGCTGGATTTGGCTCACAGGCTTTGATTTGCTGACCCTGCTCTGAAAGACCTCAGAAATGGCAGGTGCTTCACAGACAAGGCTCCCTTGGAGGGCACACTCAGGGCCCCTTAGGATCCAGAGTTGTATTCTTGTAGTTGTCATGCCTACTGTAAAGCTAATGTGTGTTGTCACTGTCGCCTACCGTGCACTTCCTACCTCTCCCCTCACTGGACCCCTTTTCCCGGATCAGGTGGTGGGCTCCTCCATGCCACTCATTGGTGACCACCAGGATGAAGATAAGCAGCTCATCGTGGAACTCGTGGTCAACAAGATGGCTCAGGTCCTGCCCAGGCAGCGGCAGCGTGATGCCTCCCCTGGCAGGGGTTCCCACAGCCAGGTGAGGCCCTTGACATTGAGCTAGTGGTGGGCAGGCCAGCCCTTGGTCAAGCTATGCCACTGAGCTGATACCAGCATCTCTTTTGTGCACATGTGGCCACAGTTGCTAGTTGTTTTAAAATAATACATATCTGCTACCCTCACCTCCCTGGGTGCCGCCTGACCCCTGAGTATGGGATGGGGGGGACTTCCAACCCTACATTGCCTCAGCTGGCCACACAAAGGGCGACACCCAGCAGACTGGGAAGCAGGCCATTCTCATTGGCTGAGGCTCCCTGGGCTGGTAACTATTTTTAACCTTTCCCACTTCACTCTTTGCTGCAGACTCCTTCTCCAGGGGCCCCACCCTTGGGCCGCCAGACCTCCCAGCAGCCTGCTGGGCCCCCAGCTCAGCAACGACCCCCACCCCAGGGTAAGTGAGGGCGGCTTTCCCAGGCATTCCAAGCAGCCCTGCCTTGCTGTGCTCTCACATGTGCTTTCTCTCTCTCTGTCCCCCAGGTGGTCCTCCACAGCCTGGCCCAGGCCCTCAGCGCCAGGGACCCCCACTGCAGCAGCGCCCACCCCCGCAGGGTCAACAGCACCTGACGGGCCTTGGACCCCCAGCTGGCAGTCCTCTGCCTCAGCGCCTACCAAGTCCTACATCCGGGCCTCAGCAGACTGCATCCCAAGCTGCACCGATGACCCAGGGTCAAGGCCGCCAATCCCGGCCAGTAGCAGGAGGCCCTGCGGCACCTCCAGCAGCCCGTCCGCCAGCTTCCCCATCTCCCCAGCGCCAGGGGGGGCCCCCACAAGCTACCCGTCAGACATCTGTCTCTGGTCCAGCTCCACCAAAGGCCTCGGGGGGCCCACCAGCTGGGCAGCAGCGCCAGGGCCCTCCCCAGAAACCCCCAGGCCCTGCAGGCCCCACTCGCCAGGCCAGCCA